TCCGATCTGGGCCGGCAGAAAGCTGCGGCGGCGAGAGGAGCCCTCCGGGGTCTTCTGCCTCCAAACGCGCCCGCACGGCCTACACCAGCGCGCAGCTGGTGGAGCTGGAGAAGGAATTCCACTTCAACCGCTACCTTTGCAGGCCCCGCCGGGTGGAGATGGCCAATTTGCTCAACCTCAGCGAAAGGCAGATCAAGATCTGGTTCCAGAACCGGCGGATGAAGTACAAGAAGGACCAGAAGTCCAAAGGCATGGGGTCGTCGTCGGGGGGGCCCTCGCCGGCGGGCAGCCCGCCCCAGCCCATGCAGAGCTCCGCCGGGTTCCTCAACGCCTTGCACCCCATGCCTAGTAACTACGAGGCGCCTTCGCCGCCTTCCTTCAATAAGCCCCACCAGAATGCCTATGCCATGTCCACTAACTACCAAAACCCCATCAAGGGCTGCCCCGCCCCGCAGAAGTACGGCAGCACGGCGCCCGAGTACGACCCCCACGTGTTACAGGCCAATGGCAGCACTTATGGGACGCCCACCAGCCCGGTGTACGTGGGAGGCAGCTATGTGGATTCTATGCCTGCCTCGGGGCCCTCCCTGTACGGCCTCAACCACATCCCCCACCACCAGTCTGGCAGCATGGACTACAACGCAGCGCCCCAGATGCCCGCCGGCCAGCACCATGGACCCTGCGAGACCCATCCCACCTATACGGATCTTTCCTCGCACCACGCCTCTTCTCAGGGTAGAATCCAAGAGGCGCCCAAACTCACCCACCTGTGATAGAGGGGTGGGGGCAGGGTGGGTGGGGGGCAGATGCACTGGTGGAGGCTCTGACGTGGGGTGGGGTGGGGTTTGGTTCAGAAAGGTTTGTGTTGCGCCCATCCCATCTTTGTTTCTGGTGGCCTGTCTTGTGGAAATTTCTGGCTTTTCCTGGGTGTAGTAAGCCAGCCAGGTACACTGTCTGATGATGAATCCTATTTATTTGCAAGGTGCAGTTCTTAAATCTAATCCAATCTATCGATCTATGGAGAGATAGATCTACCTTCTGATGCTTTAACACAGATGGGGTTTTTTTTGGGGGGGGGGAGAAAAATGGGGTAGTTTTATGGAAAACGAGCAAAACACAAAACCAAAACAACCGGATCTGCTGAAAGAAAGTACAAATAATTGCAAAGGTCCCTCGAACATCGATAATGACAGCAGACTGTCGACCCATCAAATCTATTCAATTGGATGAACAGCAACAGATTAAAAAAAAAATCTAAACAGATTCCTAGAAAACAAAACCTTCCCTTGTAGTCTAACTCTTGACATGAAGAACATCTTTTTTTTGCTGAGTAATTCTCCCCACCCCCTTCACCCCGTTAGCTAAAAATATACGGATCTGCCAACATTTGGGAACAGAACCTCTCTTCCGCCTCCTCTTCACCCGCTCCTCAAGTAGGATGAATAGTTGCAAAGGTTCTGGAAATACATTTCTGCAACAAAGTTGATTTATGTTATTTTATGAAGTGGCCAAAGAGAGGAAGAGAAAGTTGACAGGTCTGGATATTTTAAACCTTTGCCTCTTAGGAAGTGGAGTCTCCATTGGATTACACTGTTTTTGTTTTTAGCGTTCACTACTAAACAAACAAACAAACAAAACAAAAGCAATTTAAGAGAATTCCTACATTTTGTTCCTCCTTCTCTCTTGACTTAACGTGAAAACAGGGTATTTTTGAACAAACGGTGTGTCCTACCAAAAGAAGCAGCAGTGAATGGACTTTCGGTGTTTGCTAATGCTTTCTTGTTTGGACATCTTTCTTGCACTTAGAGTTTACATTGAATGGGTATAAAACAACTTTGAAGGGCGTTCTTCCAACTCAACTGTGACGTCTTTCAAAAAGCTGTGTGTTCTGGAGAACATTCATATATATTTATTGGTTATAGCCAGTTTTAAAATATTTTCCTTTTTTGTATTATTTATCCCCCCATTATGTATTTATATGAGAAAAAAGAATCAAATTGTACTTTTTTAGTATTTACTTGTTATAAAGGACATTGTGTTTTCTTGTCATTGTACAACAAGCTTATTTTAGTTATTGTAATTTAGAAAGACCAGTAGTTTTATGTTACCCTCGTACTTATGAATAATGTAATTAGTTCTACTGGAGGCATGAGAGCAGAACCAGACTGTAATTGTGTAGTCCTGAATTAGAAGAACTATAGCTAATCCCCCCTCCCACATCACCCCTCATCTTTGGAGAGCTTTCTTTGTTCCTATAGTAGTTATTTTATTTCCTTGCTTAAGGGTTGTCTGTTGAGCAATTCTTGAATAAACTTTCTGTTATCAATTTTGATCTTGTCCTGGTAGTCGGATCTAAAAGCAAAACTCAAATAAAAGTCAAAGTAGTCAAAACAGAAGCTTAAATATGCCAGAGAATAAAAACAGATAGATGGCTATCTATAGTGCTCCCTCCACGGCGCACCCCTCAGGTTATAATCCTATTTGTTTTACAGAGCAGGTTGTAAACCACTGGCACGTTCCTAGACTATAATATTTAATTAAAAAGTTAATAGCTACTCTCTGTTTCCCTCACCCCACCCGCTCTCCCTTTGGAAGCCCGTTTAACATTCTCCCAAACAGACTAAAGTTCGCCATCCCCTTTTTGGTTACAAAGAGAAGAGATCACGTGTCATCCGTCCTACACAGCCATTGGGCCTAAAATGAAAACAAAGGAAAATGATTAATCACAAAAAGGCAAAGAGGAATTTTAATACTGAAGGGAAATTAAATCCCTTGAAGAAGCAAAAGAATAAAAGTGCTGGCAGAGAGGTGCTGGGCTAGGGTTAAACTGCTAGGGAAAGGGAAAAGAGAGGGGGCAGATGTGATGTGCAGCAGCAAAAGCAAATATAAGATAATGCTGTCTGGGTAATTGGTCTTATATGCTCCAGAGCCTTAAGGAAACTCACTTTATAAGCGATGTGGTTCCATAAAAGTTTTATGATGCTGGAACGTGGTTACAAAGTGTCTGTCAATCCCCAAAACGCCCCATTTGTGTGGCTGGAGAAAATAACCAAGGGGAAAGCTCCGAAGAGCCAACGTGATACTGAAATCCTGATGCTGTTATTGAAAAAAGATGGAAAGGCGCTGAATCATTTGGAGTGGGAAACAAAGGCTGAAATGTATTAATTAGCGTTGTGTGGTGCCTGTATGTACAGTCTCCTTGTGCATAGGGTCGAACGAACAATGATATTTCAGTTCCTCTTAGCTCTGATTTCTTTTTAGAACATGGAATGCAGGTTAGTCATTAGAGCCTTTGTGCAATAAGAAATAATTAACTACATAAACAAGGAAGGAAGGAACTAGGGTTTTTTTTTCTGCATAGGACTGTAACTGAAAAATATACGCACCTGCAGGGAGCAATTTAAGATTCGGCGATGCCATAATTTTAAAGCTTTGACTGGGATCATACAAAATACCAATATTCAAGCTTTGGGGTTCCCCTCCCCAATATGATTTTCAGAGTGATGTAACAGACTCGGAAATAGTGGACGCCATATTGTTCGATTTGTTATCACGGAATGCTGCGAGCGAGTTTCAAAATAAGTAAAAGTGAATCCGGCATCAAAATGAAAGACGCCCAGGTCACATTTCATGGTTCAGACTCATGTTGTCTCTTTTGTTTCCCCTCCTCTGTCGCCTCCCATGTTCTCGGTTTTAGTTTGCACATGGCTGTGTTAAGCAAGAAGTCTTGTTTTTTTGCCTTTTAAAAAAGTTTGCATTTGTCTTTAATTTTCAGTATACGATATGAGGTATTTTTATTTAACAAGAAAGAAAGAAAGAAAGAAAGAAAGAAAGAAAGAAAGAAAGAAAGAAAGAAAGAAAATGAGTAGAAGGAAGGAAGGAAAGAAGAGAGTTTCCCCCTTCAAGTAGGAAAGAAATGTAATATCTGATCACCCCACGTGAAATAAGGAGCAAAAATATTCCCCCAACAGGTTTTATGTCTGTAACCTTCACGTGAGTAAGGAAGGGGAAAAGAAATGAAACAAGTCATAATCACTTTCCAAGTTATTTCAACATATCACCTGTCTCCCAGGAAGTAGAAAATACGGCCCTGCTTTAGAATGAAAACTAAGTTTAAAAGAAAGTCAATTTTAAATTTGTTTTTATTTTAATCTCTGTTCTGATTCGCCAGGGCTTTTTGGTTGGTTTACCTTTTCTCCTGATCTCAGCGGAAATCTAATCAAAGAAAGGAACTTTTTTTTGAAAAATGCTCTCCCAAACTTAAATCCAAGTCCGGGTTGCAGACAACTATTTTCTCACTGTTTTATTTTCCTCTCCCTTTTGCTGCGCTGCCCTTCGGCTTGGCTGTAGATTTATGTGTTTCTCTTTAAATGCCTACCTCCCACACGGATGTTTTAACTGACAAAAGTTTCTAGGCTTTACTGCCTGCATGACTGCAGTTTGCCAGCCCTTCTTTCCTACAAGATGCGGGGAAATAGAGTTTAAACAAACAAACCAAAAACCTTCTAAAGTGTCAGAATTCTTTATTATTATTGCCTGCTTTCCCCGTTGTCTAATCTTTCTGTTTTTGCTCTTCTCTAGGTTAAAGTTTTCGAATATTTCCTCTCACAATAACTGTAATAAAAGGCAAATTTCTTTGGTAAGTTGGTAAGGCCCAGCTGTCAAAAGGCTTTCCAACAAAAGATTGATGGTTTCTCTCTCTCTCTGTCTCTCCTTTCTTCTTCTTCTTCTTTTTTTTTTGCTGCTGGTTTTAAAAGAAAAAAATCTTATTGGGGAGACGACTTTTAATTTAATCAATTATATTTAAACTATCAAAGTGGAGCTCTTTAACGAAAATAAATCGGATTGCACAGATATCGGTGACATTAAGACAACCCCCCGCCCTCCCTCACCCGCAGCAAAGTTTAAAGCATCCATTAAGTCTCACTTAGGAACGGGATGGATTACCAAAGGTAATTTAACAAGATAGGATGTTTCCAGTCCACTTGTAAGACTTGCTTTATGGCTCCAAAGGACCGACGCTGTTCTTCGGCACACCTCGCCGCCCAAAAGAGAAACCCCTCTATGAAACTTTTATACTGACGTGAACTTTTAAAAAATATCCCAACTGCCAGAGGGTGGTAAATCTGCACTCCCCGTTGGCCTTTTTATGAGGAGACTCAGCCTTTCCTGGCTCTTAACAGGGGCAGCCACTGCCTTAACGTGGGAAACTTCTTTTCTAGTCCTGATTTCAACCCGTTGTCAAAACTTTTTTTCTTTAAAGAAATGAATGAGTTGGCTTCTTAATTGCTCCTGTCTCCCAGAAGGTGCTACCCAGCCACTGTATTCCCAGGCAGGGAACAAGCTAAAAAAGGCAAATGCCACCTCTCTCGCCCTTCCCTGCTTTACAGGCAGCTCCGCTTTTGCAGCAGATAGAGAAACATATGCCAAATGCCAGCGCCCGAGTCCTTCTCCAAGAAGGGCAAAGGATGCTTCCTAAGGACCATTTTTATTTTAATCTACTCCAGAAAATAACGCCTTCTGTTTTCTACCAGGCCCCGCCTGCCATTGGTCCAGGCTGGTCAGCTGACCAGGAATTGGCTGCAATTTCGCTCCAGTCCCCAGTTTAATAGAGCAAGGTTCCCATACGTCTGTATTATCAGCAATATACCAATTATAAAAAGCCTGCGAATCGTCATAATAACAATAACCATAAAAAAAATCCTGGGGCCCTAAGATTTCCTCCCTCCTCCTCTTCCTCTTCCCCTCCCTTTTCCACTGGGCCCTGGAAAAGCCATGAATTTTGAATTTGAGAGGGAGATCGGGTTTATAAATAGCCAGCCTTCGCTCGCAGAGTGCCTGACGTCTCTTCCCGCTGTCCTGGAGACATTTCAAACTTCATCAATCAAGGAGTCGACATTAATTCCACCTCCTTTGGAGCAGAGCCTCCTCAGCCTGCATCCGTGTTCCAGCGACCAGGCGAGACCGAGAATCCAAAAGCCAGACGCTCATGGCCTGACGCCCCAGCGCCCCGTCCACTTCGGCCCGGGGGCCGCAGAATTCCCCTGGATGAAAGAGAAGAAATCCGCCAAGAAAGCCACCCCGGTTTCCTCCTCCTCTTCTTCCTCGCCATCCTCTTCCTCCTTCCCGGGATCGGCGGCTGGATCTCCTGCAGGTTTGTACAATGCAGGGGAGTGGGGGTGGCCATGGGGGGGGGTGTAGTGGGATCGGAGAGGGTTCAAATAATAAACATGTTGGCATCATTTCGCCCCCACCCTCCGTATCCATCCATCCGTCCATCCATCCATCCATCCCTTAGACGGTGTTACGCAAGAGAATCCAGCGCTGCCCCATGCAGCCTTATTGTGGCCCCCCTCCTCCCCACTCCAGTGCAAATCCAAGGGAGCATCGGGGCTGGCTTTGCATCTCTTTCCGAGGGGATCAGCTACAATCCTGAGCAGCTGCAGTTGGAATTGGAAGCCAAATTCTAACGCGCCAGGACTCATTTTGTCCGGCGATTCTCGCAATCCTAGAAATGCCCCCCCCTTTACAGTCTTGGGGGGGGGGGATTGCTGATGCTTTTGTGTATGAGTCTGAGGAGGGGGAAAGACACAGAGCCTGCCATTGCGGCATCCATGTGCTGGTGGGGGAGAGGCCATAGATAGCAAAATAATGCGCCGCCCTTTTAAACCGGCTCATCTTCCCCAAAACACCGGTGGTGGGTTTTCCCCCCTGCAGGCCCTAGGGCAAGACCCTTCCCGCGTGTCAGGAGGGAGGGTGTGACTTTTTTCTTTTTTTCTTTGTAAATGCTACCCCCACCCTCAGCAGCTGCCTGGTGGTTTCTCGGGGAGGAGGGTCAACTGGCTGCCACCCTAAGTTTGGAGTTTCTAGACCGTTGGCAAGAAATTTGCAAGGGGGCCCCCTTACACGGGATTGGGGGGGGCATGAGGGTGATTTGGGTTAGGGGGTAAATTCTGTTCCCTCCTGGGGCAGCTTCTTTCTGCCCCCCCCC